TTCCTGTGCCAGTGCGAATCAAATGAAATGTCCCTCACTGTTGCACATGAAAAACTAGTTTCGGAACAATCCAGAAATATGTGCACACAGTAAATGTGTATTTCAGTTGCTAGAGGTGCCAAAGCCAACAAACGCCACCAGAAATACAGTTTGTTGTTGATGGAAGTAGTCAGGCATGATGAGTTGGTTAATATACACACGTACAATTCTTACATAAGGTTTTTCACTAGCTTACATCTAAACCGGCCACCAGCCATATTGAACTAAACAACACAACAGCTGCACACAAAAAAAGGCATACCATAGGAAATACACAGCTCACAGGGCTGCAACCAAGCACCAAGCTCAGGCAGCAGTCGGAAAAATATGACAAAGCAATGTCTTTAAAGTTTAAAAAAAAAAAAAAACTTTCTGAATGCATTTTTAGTCATTCCCCGTTATGATTGTGCAGACACAAATGCAAAGAATTCTGTTAGCTTGACGTCAAATAAACATGTCTCTGTAGCGAGTCAGAAAAGCGACTTTTACGGGGAAATGGTGCCAACCGTAAGTGTAAGTTTTTATGGCTTCTCAGAGCAAAAGGATTAAGAGTCAAGGACTTTTTAGTGTATTTTGAAAACATAGATGGTATATGTCCCAGCCTCAGAATTTTAGAGACCACCCAGCACTGATAGTGTCTTTGTGTCTTAAAGGTAGGTGAATGAGTTTAACAGTCTAATTATCCTGATGTACTAGGAAGTACTGTGGCAGAGATTTAAAAAACAAAATTAGTTTTTGTGGTTTTCGGACGATGATACAAGAGTCCCACCATGTGGAATATTGGGGCCTGGCCACATATTTGCAAAGACAACTTTGGATGTGCTATGGTCAACCTTCATTGTGTTGTGTGTTAAGAACTGATGTCATAGCACTCAGGACATTCTCTTAGGTGTGCCATCACCACTTCAGCATCTCCAGATTTGATTCCACAACCTTTGGATCCACAGGCAAGCATCTAGCCGCTTCACCATGTCTGCTCCCCAAAGAAAGGAAGTACTTCCACTTTCTTTTTTATTTTAGGCATAATTTTTTTTCAGTGCTACTGTAATAGACACTTAGAGGTGAGTACCGGCACATTGTTTAGACATTTTGCGGTATATGCTGCCACTTTTTTCTAGAAATAGAAAGCTCTCTATCCTTGTGTTACTGTTGACACATTTCCCTTTCTGCTTTTCTTCTCCATCTTTCCTTAGGTCGTCCACATCTCCTTTTTCCATCTGCTGTCCACCGGAGAGCTGCCTTTGTCAAAGTGTCACGAGGCAAATGTGACCAGGCCATCTCCATCTTATTCCTTTAGTAACATTTGTCCCAAATACAACAAATCAAGGCAAAACTTGTGGCCAGGAGAAACACCGGTGCAAGTCAAACTTTACGGGTCGCTGAGTGAATTACAAAACAGTGAAGTTCATACTAGAGACAACATTGCAGATATAAATAATCTATTTCAAGCGAACGAAAGAAGAAGAAGAAGTAACATTTGATAACTCATTTATAGTTTTGTTACATTTTCTGTTTTCATTATCATTTCCCAGATAATTGTCATTTTTTCTATCTTTAGAATTTCCCCGTGATGAAGTGGTTAAACCATATGGGTCATGGTTCAGTGTCAGACTCAGGTTGACATCTTCATCGTCTTATAGTCCATACCTTGTAGCGTTGGTAGTCATATCTATCCACAACCTCTTTTGCCCTCCAACTTTTCTGCTGTTATGATGAACTCCAGTTTCTTCCTTCTCATGCCATAACCAAAGAATGTAGATTATCTCCTTCTCCTGTAGGCAGTCACTTCTCTCCAGGAGTCAGTTTCATTCAAGATTACTTTTTTTTTTCTGTCCAGGGTGTTCTTATAATTCACCTATAAACCACATCTCCATCGCTTCCAAATAATTGTTTTACTAATCTAACTGTCCACGATTCACTTCTGTACATCAAAATAGGATTTATATAGCTCTTGAGAATTCTCGTCTCAAATGGCAAAAAAATGATTGCACAGAATATTCTTCATTTTATAAAATGCTGCATATACAGTAATGAGGCGGAAAGCAAAGGTGGGGAGAGGGAAAAGGGGGGGGGGGGGGTGGGGGGGGGGGGTTGTATGTCACTCACAGAAGGCCTTTAAAAGTTAGTGAACAGTGTGGAGGCAAAAATAGGTCAACACAGTCTAAAGAGAATAATGCAGTGGAGAGTGACTAGGGGTTATTATGGCTAACACTCAGGAAAAAGGCAAGACAATGACATGCAGTGGGACAACTACTCATACCGTTGGAATTGGAACTCTACTCTGGCTGCTGAAGATGGGTTTGGAGTATTTATGGGAATATCCTGAGTGATATGATGTCAGTTTTTAACAACTTGACTCAATCCTGGCAGGGCACCAGAGGCTCTGAAAGATAGACTTTGTCTTCTTCTCCTCCTCCTTCACGTTCACCATCTGTAAACTCCTTTCCAGAAGAGTTTTGCATGCACATCCATTTTACAGATCTGACTTATTTGTTTGCAGACTGACTGTTGGTTATTCGCCTCAGAGAGATAATAAAATGGTAAAAACAGTACTATTTATGTAGAGTGATAACACACTTTATTAAATTATTTGCATCATAATGATAACATATCAAAATTAAAACATATTTAGAAAGTGTATATGATATCTGGACATTAAACAGTGCATCTCGGATGTTATTCTGATTTTGGTCTCTGCTATAAAATAAAAGAAACACGTTTGTATGTGCTTACAAATTTAAATGGCTTTGAAAAATTATTAAACAATTATTGTGCAGTATTCTTTACATTCTTTACTGATATAGGTACAGGAGTGTGGGACTTAGTCCTAACTGGTCATTATATTTAAGGTACAGTTTGATTTCACAAGCATAATTCACAGTTTATACAATAAATATTACATTTACTCGGAGCAGATTTCTAGAATTAAAGGTGCCGATACTCACCCCAAAGTGTGTTTTATAGTAGCCCTGAACAAAATGATGTCTTTAAATTAAAAAGATGCTGTTACTGTGTGTAAAAACAAAAATAAAGCTGTGCTGGTGATGAAGTTAAAATTTATGTCTGACAAACTATGAAATGTGTTGCTTTCTTAATAAAGTAGGATGTTTGATTTTTCTTTATTCCCACAGTGACTACAGCCTGAATGTTTATTATCTAGTGGCTCAAACAGCCACTTTCTAGATGCCAGTCTGACAAGAATAAATCCCAATTATCTTATTTAACTGTATAAAACTGTTATATTTGAGGTACTTGCAACATGATGATGATGACAATATTCTCATTATATGGATACAAACTCAAACATGATCAGACACACAATCAGATAAAGCTAATTCTCAACAAAATATACACATGGGACTATAAAAACTGACTACAGTAATTACAGCACTGTAATAGATAATGCATGAAACAAACAAACATGATAATTTGTATCAGATTTATGAAAGTATTTACGAAATATCTGTACAAAATAAGCAACAAATAACATCTGGAATGATAAAAGCTCATGTGTGTACACTTTTTAAAAAAAATAAATGTGTACACTTCCATACTACAAGAAACCATACACTGATTTAAAATTATCCTTATATGCATTCTGGGGCCCATTGTTAGGGGGAAGGGGGGGGGGGGGGAGGGGGGGGGGGGGGGGTAATCCAATGCCCCCCTACAAAATTGTTATAAAAGGTGACTCATTAGGGGTTTGCTAAATCAGATATTTGTGGCTAAAAGGCCCAATACATTTAACAGTATAATGGTGTTGACCTACTAGGATTATTTATTTGTGACCCAAGTTTTCCACATTTTTATCTGCCTTCCTAAGTGTCTGTCTGTCTAGTATTTTATCTGACATCCTTCATTTCCTTGTGGGATGCAATTTTTCTTTATGTTGAAGCCCCACCCTGGCTCTTGCCAGGGGCCGTAATATAGCCCGGCCATAAATATGGTCTAATGGCTGAACGCGGTTTCCGGGACCTCTCCACGGGTGATCCTCATCCACATGGTGGCACTTTGTGTCATCAGGTGTTTATCAATTGTGTGATGTCCTGGTGGGGTAAAATGTACTACTACTACTAGTATTTTATCACATATGGTTGCTTTCTATCGCATTCACTGTACCACTCCTGTTTCTGTGTCTGATATGCAATGAGGAAATCTGTCCAAAAACTAAAAAACTAACTCCTGTTTCTTGCACTGTCTCATATTGGTATCCATTATCACTGTCTCTTACTTACCAATTCTCTCATAAATTATTTCACCTTACTCTTGTACATCCTTCCTCTTGCACGCCTCTCCCTTTCTCTCCCTCTGTCTCTCTTGCATTTTGTCTCATAAAGTGATACATCAGTATGAATCCTTACTTGCATTGAAATGTCATTTAAAAAAAAAAATAATGTACATACATCCATCAAAAGGGATGTAACTAATTTAATTATTTATCACAACATATTAACAATTTTATTACAGTTTATACATTGAATATTTTCCATTTCTTAAGGTCTCACTTCTTTTCTTCAAACTTCTGGAATGACTCTTCAATAGGTAATTTTAACATCACATATGGGAATTAATCTTTTCAACGGGTTATGATGAGAGCATGCAGCAAAGGACTTGCATACATATTGAATTCTTTCTGCATGAGAATGTTCACATATGTGATCATTAAGCCACCTACATCAGGGATGATATGACCATCTGCATATCTGACAGTCTGCCTGTATGACAGTCTGCCTACCTGACAGTCTGCCTACCTGCCTATCTGACAGTCTGCCTATCTGACAGTCTGCCTATCTGACAGTCTGCCTATCTGACAGTCTGCCTATCTGACAGTCTGCCTATGACTCATAGTAATGTTAGGGATGGTCTGACACCTTTTCACTGACTTTGAATTTTTCCTGTCATTTCCTCAACCTTTTCTTCAATATGTAACTAACCATATGTACAGTGGTTATAATCGTTGATTAATATGAATACAAGAGTTTGGCTAAATCTGTTGCTTTCTCAGATGAATCCATGTTCCTCACTTTCTTGAGTATTTCCTGCTGGCTCTGATTGGTCAGGGCTGCGGTGTTGGTATTAAACTTCTTGATGACGTCGGCATCACTTAAGGGGTTCCTCCAGTGACCATATGGAGTGTCACAACGACCACAGACTTGAGAACCGTCCTGGAAATATAAAAGATAAATGGTTATATTTGTAGCAAATACTATGTTTTTTTTCTTCTTATTTCTTTCTGTTTCTTCGTTTTTCTTTTCCATATTCTAGTCCGTTTTCCACTTTTTTAATCTCCTTTTCTTTATATTTCTTCTTCTTCTTCTGACTGTCAAACCCCAGTTTAATGCAGTCTTTCAGTCAACATGTCTCAAGTTGTTTTATCCTTTGCTGTCTCATACAGCTCACATCATGTCTTCTGTATCTATTGCACCTTAATCTATCATATTTATTTGCTATGTGTGTCCGTGCACGTGCATGCATGTTTTTGGTTCTTTTACTGCCTAATTTCTTTGGCTGTGTCGGTATCAGTAGAAACCAGAACTAGTTTTCACAGCTCAGCATCTCACAGACAAACACACATATACTAGTTCTTCATGTCTTCTGTATCTTTTGCACCTTAATCTATCATATTTATTTGCAATGTGTGTGTGTGGGTGCATGTTTCTGGTTCTTTTACTGCCTTATTTCTTTGGCTGTGTAGGTATCAGAAGAAACCAGAACTAGTTTTCATAGCTCAGCATCTCACAGACACACACACATATACTAGTTTTTCGGACATACAGAGCAAACTGCAGAAGACAGAGGACAACTAGTTAGTTGGTAAGTTAGTTAACCGAAAGATTATCCTCAATGCAGATCGAACAAGTCCATTAGCGCTCGGATCCCATCTTCAGTATAGCCCTCAGCGTGTGGCAACTAATAACACCAGTTCTGTGTTATTTTACTATTCTTCTTTGGCTAGCTGTATAGTGTTAATGTTTAGCAACACCTCTTTTGACTTGAAGTTCTTGTAGTCTTTTGAATGTTGCAGATTCAACGTTGTCTCTTTGAACTCTATCATCTAGTCCTGCCTTCTTGAGAACGTTGAGGATATTGGCCTGATCCATTGCATTTCTTGTACCTACCGTGTCAGCAAGCCAATCCGCTCATTTATTCCCTCTTACACCAGAGTGTCCTGGCACAAAACAGAAATTAATTCCTTTCAGATGAGATTTCCTCAGCGACTCCAACCATTTTCTTTGAATCCATCCTGTCTCTGTCTTCTGTCTCTATGCAGACAACAACTACATACATAAAAGAACTAACTGGAGAGAAGACCATAAGGCAGACCAAGAAGACAGTGATAAGAATATTTAGTCTGACCTACAAACACTTGAAGTTGGCAAAGAGAAGGCCATAGCAAAGAAAAAGCCAAGCAGAAAGATGAATGGAGGTGGGTGATACATGCAGCAATGAACATCACGAGCTTGGAAGGCTCAAGTAGAAGAGGACATACCTTCAGGTGGATATGCACCTCCACATACATGTCATTGAAGGAAGGTTTGTTGTCGTCACTTGTCTGGACCTCAGTTTTCTGCAGCAGGGCCATCAACTGGGCACGTTGTCTGTGATTGCTGTGGTAAGAGCTGGGAGTTACTTCCCCGTCCAACAAGGCAGTGCAGGCGTTAAACTGGAAGGAATGGCGGGCTTCATGTCTGGTTGCCGGCAGAGGACGGTTGATATACTTGGATCTGTTTGTAGATTTAGTAGGTACAGTTATTTATTTACAATTAACCTTAAATGATAGGGAAAAGGATACAATGTGTAAACTGACATGATATTTATGCAAACAGTTTAAATAACATTATTTACTACGCTTTAAATAAGAAATATGGACCCCAACTACTTCTTCATGCTCATTGAATGTAAACTCTGATGGAGAGCTTTGGTTGTTCATCCACTTTCAGATTTAAGTCTTGTTCTAGTACTTGAATTTTGCATGCACAACCATTTTACAGATCTGGCTTAATTGTATGCAAACTATTGGTTCCTTGCCTTTCGTGCAGACATACTTGGACTGAAGGAACGCCTAAATAGTTGACTGTTACATGTTTGTTAAGGAGGCAGTGGGTGATTTTCACCCACAATGGTGCAGTATCACTAATTTACCTGCTTCAGTAACCCTATGACAAGATAAAACATGTTACATATAGACTAAAGTCTAGTCACTAAACTTACATATACAAAATCATAGACGTAAATCTATTTGAATAACTAGTACTGATGGAATCATTTAGCATTCATGACATAATGTAAATGAGGAACTCTGATTTTATCTTTCTAGGATACATTTATTTGCATCATTCCACATAACTGTCACACTGCAATATGCTGACGAGTACAGTAAAACTTCTTCTTTCACCTTTTATCCCACAATGGAGCATGGACCCTCAACCAACTCACGCCAAGTCATTCTTTTCTTTGCTATGGCATGCAGCTCATCCCATATATCCTCCCCATCTTTTTTAACTTCACTCTCTAGCTCCCTTTATGTTATCATTCTTCTATCAGAAGAGCTCATCCTCCCCCACCCCCACCCTCCATCTTGGTTGGTTCGTTGGCTGGGTATTTCTTGTTTCTCTTTTAACTTTTACATGGTTGGCAGGTTTTTGCGTCTATTGTTTTTAGAGGATGAGGTAGCCAACCAGGATCCCAACGCTCCCCTTAGTTGCCTCTTATGACAAGCGTGGTAGTGTGCAGTGCTCTTCTATACATCATTTCTCGTCCTTTTTAGGATGAAATTTTTCGTTATTTGAAACCCTACTCTGGCTTTTGCCAGGGGTCGCAATATAGCCTGGCCATAAATATGGCCTAAAGGCTGAACGTGGTTTCTGGGACCTCTCCACGGTGATCCTCACCCACACGGTGGCACATTGTGTCATCGGGTGTTTATCGCTTGTGTGATGTCCTGGTGGTGTAGAAAGTCAGTCAGTCAGTGTGCAGTGCTACTATTCTTTGATTCCCATAAGGGCGCCGGTAACAGATGGGCGACAGTGAAATATGCTAGGCAGCACATCATGCAATCTTTTATTTGCTTTGTTGAAATTTAGAACTTGGAAACATGGCTTTAAAATTGTATTACAGATTTGTAAATAAGAAGTGTTCACTTACTGAGGAGCCTTGATCACAACCTTCTCAATGCTGTCAACGTTCAGGGCTCCGGCGTTTCCTTCCAGGTTGGATCGAACAGCCAGAGCAGCATCGATAGTCCAGTGCATGCCCAGGTGAGCAGGGAACCTCTTCAGAGCAATGTCCTGATAGTGAAGAAGGAACTCCGGGCTGTTGTAGTGTTCTGTTGCAGAGAGTAAATAACAGCAACCATGAAATGTACATCAGTATGTTGAGCAAGTATAATCACAGGTAAATAATATGTTAAAACTGCTAAATCAGCTTATTGTTAACGTTCACTGGTTGTAACCTCTGACGGACAGTTGCAGTTTAGTTTGTTAATCCCCCCCCCCCCCCCCGGTGGGTTCCGGGGCCCCATTGTGGGGAAAACAAGAATAGACCCACTGCCTCCCCAAAAGCATGTCGTAAGAGTCGACTAATTGGGGAGCTTCCTTTGAAGTCGGAGTGCATCTGCCGGAGAGGGGCAAGGAACCAACAGTCTGTATTCAAGAGAACGAGATCTGTAAAACTGATGCACACGCAACACTCAGGTTCTGGAGCAGGACTGCAGTTCAGTAGTGGACGAGCAACCAGAACTTTCTGCCAGAGTTTACAGCTGGTGAACGCGAAGAAGAAGAAGAAGAAGTTTGTTTATCATCATCATCATGTGCCATGACAGTTGGCATAGGAGCTATTGCATCTCCACAGATCACGATCCCTGGTTGCCTGGAACAGCTCTCTTGATGATAGATCATGAGGAAGACCAAGGAGCAGATGGACTGACATCAACAAAAACACATTAAAAAAATACTGGTTTATATTAACCAGCACAACACAATTGACACTTAGACATCAATTTTAAGGGGCCGCGTTAGCGAAGTCAATAAAAAATCCAACTGTGACTCGCTGCAGCCCACGGCTGGTGTTTGAAACCGGGCGGTTCCCGGGGTTCATCCAGCCTCTATGTCATGGGTACCAGAGGGTGAATGGAGGAGTTGCGTGCGGTCGACGAGACAGGTGGACAGTTTCTTATTAGCTGATCTCACTGGTGGCAGAGCACCTATGCTTTAATACCGTGTGCAGTGACGCTGGTTCACATCTCTCGACTTTACCTTTTTTTTTAAAAAAAACTTTATTTTAGACATCAATTGAAAAACCCCACTTAGTACCGTATGAATTGACGAGCGCCCCCCCCCCCCCCCCCGGTGTCGAAAGGGGGGGGGGGCAAAAATGTGCTTTTATCTTGAAAAATGTACGGGGGGGGGGGGGTTGACTTAAAATTCTCCACACCACACGTTGTTGACCCGGAATGCCTCTTGTCAACATCCAAATCAACATAGGACATCAAAATCAGTTTTACTACTGGTTGCTTCGGCAACATTCATCTTCAAACCCCATGCTGTAACTGTGGAGAATTGCCCTGCTAGTGACACTAACACATTTACGTGACACTCACACCTTTATATGCGCGATGATCCACAGGCATGGGTAGATTAACCATTGAGCATACCAAGTACGTACTTATGGCATCAAAAAGCGAAAGAGCCACGACATAAATTTTCCATAGCCTTGGAAATTCCCCATAACTTTGACCTTGGGGTTACAATAAAATTAGAATCTGGCCACTTCTGCAGTGTCCACAGAGGCTTAAGTGATCGTTCTCAAGCACATTGGGTTTAAATTCTGAAATCTAGGTTTAAAAAAAAATAATCCTTATATAAAAGTAGGTAAATGTTTATTTCGTAACTATAAAATTTGCTTTATGTGATGTCTCAGTGAATGAATAGTGGTTCTAGAAAGGGGAAGAGAGAGAGAGAGAGAGAGAGAGAGAGAGAGACAGACAGAGAGAGAGAGAGAGAGAGAGAGAGAGAGAGAGAGAGAGAGAGAGAGAGAGAGAGAGAAGGAGAGAGACTTACCAGCAATTAAAGTCTCTGGATCGAAGTCATCGTAGAAAGCACCAAAACCTGATGGCATGTCCAGAATATTGTCGTTGCCCTCAATCCCTTGATCAGCCAGGAGTGCAGCTTCTAGTCCAAACCTAGTTGGTTTAAAAAAAATTGTTTTTTGATGCCACCGATGCTATAAGAAAAAATGTCAACCACATTTGACCTGCTACTAGCATTCAGTTATATTTATGGTCTGGTTTTTTTGTGCTAATTGTTTTGGCTGAAGTTGGAGTATGCGTGCCAAGCTCCGTGGCTTTGAGTCCCTAAAGTTGTCCATTCCTGCTTTATGTCTGGATCCCATTGTTGTCCTGTTATCTCTGTCGTCCGGATAGTTTTGCCTCCTATGTTTGATTGGGGCAGGCGTACATCTGTTATCTTCTGCCAAACTGCACCTCCTAAACTAATGCCAGCAACATAAAATAAGATAATGTTCAGTGGCTAAACAGCCGTGGTGCCAACCTACCTGATGACAAGTCTTTTTCTTCCTAGAGTTGTAATCGCCAGCAGAAATCCTGGTTGTTTGTCCACTTCTGGACTTTAGTCTGGTTTCAGAACTGGAGACCCCGTGTGGGTTCCGGGGCCCCATTGTGGGGAAAACAAGAATAGACCCACTGCCTCCCCAAAAGCATGTCGTAAGAGTCGACTAATTGGGGAGCTTCCTTTGAAGTCGGAGTGCATCTGCCGGAGAGGCAAAGAACCAACAGTCTGTATTCAAGAGAATGAGGTCTGTAAAATTGATGCACACGCAACACTCAAGTTCTGGAGCAGGACTGCAGTTTAGTAGTGGACGAGCAACCAGAACTTTCCGCCAGAGTGTACAGTTGGTGAACGCGAAGAAGAAGAAGAAGAAGAAGAAGAAGAAGAAGAAGAACTGGAGTTTTTAATGTCTGGCTTTTTTGTATAGACACTGTTGGTTCCTGATGCACTCAAATTTCAAAGAAAGCATCCCTAATTAGTTGATCTTCATGACATACTTCATCTTCATGACATGCTTACAATGGGACCCCAGACCCCACACGGGATAATTACTAGTGAAATGGACTCGCTTAATCGTTAATACACTACGTATTAAATCTTTTTTTTTTCCTTTTAAATGGGGGAAGGGGAAGGGTGTGGGTATTAATGGCGAAGTGGTCGAGTCTTTCTTCTTGTACTTTGACGTCGTGGGTTCATCTAATGGCTGATGAGCTACGAAGTTCGTGCTTTGTGCGACGATCTCGGTAGGCGGCTAGCCCTTCTATGGGGAGAGGCCGAGCCATTAGGATTAAAATCCGGCTTAGCTTCATCGATTCTCTATACTTCGACTCCAAAATGTTACTGACCTTATAGCGGTGGGGAAGTACACAGTCTCTGTTTGCATTTAGTTCCTATTGTTAGGGAGCCTTTATTGTTACCCTAATAAAAACTTTAGAGGGATTTGACCTGTTTGTTTGACATCCAGGGTGCGAAATTTGCAGTCGCGGGGATAAAAGAAATTTCAAGAAACAGCACACAGAGGACAAACAGATAAACTTCATACCTAGCAGCTTTCCCGGCGTGCAGAGGTTTTGTGGTGGTTCCCGCATTGGCCATGGGAGCTCCAGCAAACGATGCAGCAATGCCCAGAGCGGCTCTGCACTTTTCCGGTCCTAGACCAAGGAGACTAGAACAGGCAGCAGCACTGCCCATCACACCAACAACAGCTGGAGGGTGAAATCTGAAACATTGATACAATGTAGAGCGTGTCAGCAGAGCTACTTTAGTGCTCATTTGGATACTGAACTATATACTTACTGGTACCTAGCTATAAGGAGGATGGCAAAATCGATGCAAAGATTAAACGGCATTAAGCACTAGTAAGAAAATTATACTTTTGAGAGCATGCGTCATCCATGTAGCAACATACGGATGGAGTTATTGACTATCTCCCTGTCCTTAAGAAAAAAAAAGAAGATTTGAGCTGAAGTGCTATAGAAAGATTCTTAGAATACCATGGACAAAGAAGAGAAGAAAAAGTGACATTTTAAACGATGTGAACATCAAGGAGGATTGGCTAATAAACATCATCTTGTCTCGGAAACTGAAATATTTGATCAAACAAAGGAAACCCCGCATTTCCTGGGGAAGTCCAATATTCTAGCGGTGTTTTTGGGTTGGTTTAAGGGTTTAGAAAGTGTCTCTAAGGCGGTCGGAATGACAAAGATCCTAACCCTAACTCCTACCCCAACCCATAACACCCCTAGGAGGGAGGGGGAGGGGTAATAAGTTCACAGATATTACAGTTACAAGAATGGTATGAGGCTTGTTTCTTACCTCCATGGAATACTTTTGGCAGAATTGGAAGACCTCAGTAAAAGGCCCTGTACTTGGATGCCAACATTGTAGGCTACCAGAAGATCCTCCAGAGAAGGACTGAGGTTGCTCATTGTCTCGGATAAAGCCAACAGAGCCGGGAGAGTGGGACCACTCGGATGGGTGGCCGGGTGCCATGTGTCGTCAAAGTCCATGGAGTGGACACTGGCGCCATTGATGTAGGCGGCTGGTGGAAAAAACATGATAAATGTTAAGTTTGGGGAATACTGTAGTCGGCTAGTGAAAGGCAACTGCTAAATGTAATGTTGAATGTTGAATTAAGAACCGACATCATAGCACTCAGGACACTCCCATAAGTGCTTAGTCCCCATCTTCAGCAGCAAGTGAAGAGTTCCAATTCCGATGCTACCAATAACCGTCTGATTGTATATCCGTCTCATCCTTCCCCTGAGTGTTGAGCGATCCCAGATTCCCTGGTAACTACTCGCAGCGCCATTCTCTTAGACCGCAATGATCTATCTGCGCCTCCGCACTGTTTACTCGCTCCAAAAGGGCCCTCACAATATCTCACTTACCATACATCAGTTCACCACCAAGTGGTGCAGACCCAGCCAGTCTATCTGCCTGCTCGTTCCCCAACACACTGGCATGACCTGTGCTAAATGTAAGAGTGGGGGAAACCGAATGCACCTGGCATAAGGAAGCTATAGTTGTAAATGTGAGAACTGTGGCCGGTTGGTAGATGAAAAGTGTTAGCTGTAATTGTAGGAAGTATATTAAACTGTTAGTAGCCGCAAATGAACGAACGAACATTATTTTCAAAGAGTTGAGAAATGGGCACATAGGCCTGCCTTACGTTCAAGGACATTTAGCAGAAGGGAGACCGTTAATTGTTAATTTAGAGAAGGCCAGCTAGTAGAAGACTTTAGACGTAAATGTGGAGGAAGCAAAAGGAGGCTGGTAGAAGAAAGAAGAAAAAAAAAGCATTATCAGTAAATACCCAGACTTAAATGGGTACCAGGATGTATGTCCCGAGGAAGTAAAGACGGCCGGTGTAATGCTGACCACATTACCCATCTAGTATCGATTCGTCTGTAAAAATATGGGTGGTCCTATGCGTCTAAAGGCTTGAAAAGTGATCTTTCCTTTACTTTATATGTGGAGAATTTACTTTGTGGATTCTGGGGCCCGATTGTGGGTGGAAACAAGAAGAGACATACTGCCTTCTTAATAAGCATGTCGTAAGAGTAGATAAATAGGGTGCTTCCTTCGAAGTCGAAGTCTATCAGTGTGAGAGGCATAAGACCAACAGTATGTATTCACATATTTCAGGTCTGTAAAATGGGTGTGCACGCAACACTCAGGTTCTGAGCTGACTAAATAAGGTCCAGAGGGGGACACCGTCGGTGTTTACAGCTGATAAACTCGAAGAAGAAGAAAACTATATGTAGAGAATATAGTGCTTTATTTATATACCACCATGAAGTATATTTAAATACAAAACAACAGTGTGAAATCCTGGTGGTTACTACTGTCTCTCTCTCTCTCTCTCTCTCTCGCTCTCTCTTTCTCTCCCTCGCATAGTGAGTACGTGTATGTGCGTGCGCGCACGACATATAAGCCCACGAGCGTCAATGCTTACCCGTTGCTGGCGAGGTCCTCATGTTTCTAGATCCCCACAGCACGCAGCCGCCCATGCCGTTCCGGCCTCCCACGTAGGCCGCATGCTCTAAGACCATGCAGGTGCGAGCCACAGTCTGCACGATGTCGGTGTTGTGGCCCAGGATGCCCACACCCAGAGTGTCCAGCAGCATCCTCTTGCTGCGGTGGACAGTGGTGTTGGAGAGGTCCCTAATGCTGGTTTTGGAAATGAGGTCAGCGATCCACGAGGTCACGCTGGTGGCCGGCAGACTTTTGGTAGCAGCTGTAGCAAAAGATGAGTCGTTATTATGAAGTTTATCATGGAAATTATCAGTGTTTTAAAAAAAATTCCTCTTAAAAAGAAAAGTTAGCTGAAAACTAGATCGCAAACACGGGGAATCCAGGAATCCCAGGAAAAGTCCATTGCTATAGGGGCGTTACGGTTGAAATGAAAATCGACTAACCCCAACCTAAACCCTATAATATTGAAATTTTCCGGGATTCTGTTCTTCCCAGTATTTGGGGTGACCTAAAAGGAAAGTACCGAAAACTTTATAATTTTGTGGCAATGGGTTTAACAAATTAACCAGAGTACCCATTTGGCCGGACCGTGAGTGTAAAAATTTTGAGGAGCACTTGTCGTAGCTAATAGTCTTACAAGGATCAGCTTATCACGCGCCGACTGATTGACTTTTTACCCCAACAGGACTGAGCGATAAACACCTGGTGACACAAAGTGCCACCATTCGGATGAGGATCATCCATGGAGAGGTCTCAGAAATCCCATTCAACGGTCAGGTTATATTAGGGTCCCCGGTAACAACCACGGTGGGACTTCAAATAACCAAAAATTCGGCACTCTTCCGAGTGTTCCTGTTCCATATTTTTAACTACATGACCTCTCATGTCCCTAACTACGACCTCTTGGGCCCTGAATGGGATTTTTTGTCTTTGAATAATAAGGGACCGTTATTCGGAAGAGTGCCAAAAATTCGTCCCACATGGGGTCGGGGATTGTTATCTGTTTTCACACGGTCGCCTGTAGCTTTTTATCCTTCTACCGGCGGGGTTAAAATAACGTTAATCTCCCCAAATAGAGTAGGTCACTTTTCATTCACAAGTTTGTTGAGCTGGTCGACTTTCATGAAGCTTGCGGGTATGACCCGCTCTGTTATTTGCTTTCTGCGTTGTCTTGCATTTACGTTTTTATTCAGAGAAAGAGAATGCCTGTGACATAGGTTGCAGCACTCTCTAGGGGGTTGTGTTAGGGTCAGTTTCTCATGCTTTTGGAGTGTTAACAGCGCCGGCCATATAAACGGCATTGCGGAACACCCCCCACAACCTTGTGCCAAGGTGACAGGTTCAGGAACTACTAATCAGAAGTGAGTTAGTGTTGTATGGGCGGGGCGTGGTGGAGACTAACGTTACGTGTACCACCGGCGGTTTTGGGTTTTCACTGCAGTTGTGTGTGTGTGTGTGTGGGGGGGGGGGGGGCATTCGGCCCTGACCAACTTTTCCACTGGAGACTTTTTCGGAAATATCCGAAAAAACTGACCCGATTTACGACCTGCTCCAGTTTTAAATCGAATACTCAGCGAGATAAACAGCTGCAGGAGGTTGTTTTTCAATCTACTTCTGTCGGAGGTCTCGCGGGATCTAACTACGTAAGAGACGAGACCCAGAAGTAGATTTAAAGCTGAAGCCGGTCGTTGTAAGAGACTGAATTTATTAGTTTTTCGTTTTGGGGGCTGATAACTGGGGGCGCCAAAATTAACCAACTTTTGTGTTAGGGCTTCATGGGACTTTGATTCGTGTTTAATTATTTACTGAATGGCAGCAGAAATAAATTACTCTCGTGTACAAAACTGTTGAGCGGGAAGATGCGAAGAAACAAACGGTTACGACTGAAAGAGGTAGGAGTCGCCGTGGTGTAGCGGCTAGCCGCTCGCTTGCTGATCCAAAAATCGTGAGTTCAGGTCCTGAGGAGCCAGTGTTTTCAAAAATGATCTTGGCTTCCAGGTCGTCGCAGCTCTAAATGGGTACCAGCTTAAGTCCTGGGAAGTAAAGGGAACCTGCGTGAACACCACATCACCCACCAAGTTAGTTAGTCTTTCATATTGAACCTAGGGCGCGCATACGGCAGAGGTCTAGCTCTATGTCTGGCGGTTCGTTGCCACCTGCTTTAGGTCTTGGATGTTCGTTAGGCCCATGGTTGAGCCTTCCCTGGTGATGTTTCTACCCAGGACCTCTCTTGGTCTTCTCCGTTTTCCTTTCCCCTTTCCGGTATCCATATGATGGCTTGATGGTGTAGTCTTGTCTTACCCATTCTGAGTGCACGGCAGGGCACTTTCTTAAAAAATAGGTACCTTATCATGCTTGGTTTCTTGTCTTATTTGCGTAGTGCATCTTAAATCTGTCCAGTTGAACGAAACATCATAACATTTAGAGCTAGAAATCTGATTCTAAAACAACGGATTTTTACGACGGCGACTTGTCGGGTCATCGATCAACAGTCTTAAGCCAAGCTAGAGGGAACCACGTCACGCCACCTTGGCCGAAAACGGAACCCACCTAATGCTGTTGGTCTATAACATATAGGTCTAGCCCTATATACCCAATACTCTTAAAGGCGTGGAAAAGAGTCCCTTTACTGTTTACTGAAAGAGATAACACATATTAGAACACAACAACATATCTACTTACGGAGAGCAACTGTGTGAGCAAAACGTTTCTCTTGTGAGTTCACGGGTCTGTCTTCGGGCGAGGTGGAGTAATCATTCTTTATGATCTTGTTGATGGTGCTTTTACCGGAGCCAGCCGCGGGTCTGACTTCTCCTGTGTTCGAATCCTGCGAGCTCGGGAAGCGCTGTAGATAGTGCATAGATACATTGGTACCTTGGACTGAACTGAGTACAATTTTCCCAAATGTCTGCTCCAGTTTAAACGCGTTGAGCGGAGACTTCGTCATGTCGGTACACAATTTACAACGAATTTGTCGACCAGCAACTATGATGTATGTGTTGAGTAGCAAGCAAATCGATGTATGTGTTGAGTAGCAAATCGATGTGTCCACATGATCACGAGGAGCATCCAACTTGTAACTCATAACACAGTAGCAGTTAAACTTCGCGCAGCTTTGATTTTCTTAAATGTACTGTACATTTTGTCTATTTCTTTTTATTTTTATTTTGTTTAACTGATGGTGATTTGTTTGATTTATCTGTATTTTTTAAAAATATATCTTCAAGTTAATATATATATATGCCTTGCGACCACCCAACCATCCCCACCCCCTTCCACTTCCCATAAATATGAAGTTGTGGACTAAGACTAATGTCTAGAAGTGAAGGAACGTCGGAGTTTACCGCTGTTGAACGCGAAGAAGGAGAATAACTATGACAGATAAAACTATGTAAACATAAATTCACACGATAAATACAAAAGCATATTTAACACATATATATATACTTCAGAATAATAGCTATTCCCACCGCACAGTTACTGCAATCACAGATTGCACACTGCTCATATTTTTGAACAGTTAAAGCACAAACTAGACGCCAAAACATGGGGAAATCCAATTATAAAACGAAATATGTAAGACTATTTAGATTGTATATTTTGCCAGTAAGATCTACCACGGCCTTCTCTATTTATTAGAGAAGGCCGTGGATCTACTCCAGCTTGAAAGAAAGTCCGACAACTCATATCCCGGAGGAAACACAGGATACAATTTATATCCGCAAAAAGACATTTGTATACATAAATCTGTATATTCACTTAAAAGATATGTCACCCTTTTGCTGTTTCACACAAGTTTACAGGTTTTTCTGGCGGTAATCAAATTTAATGATTTTTTTTTTTTTAATTCAAAAACAATTAGTTATACCCCCTTCTAACTCTTATGTTTTGAAAGTTTAGACTTCTATACGCAAGATGCTCGGTTTGGGCAATGCATTGTTTTACAATTTTATTCTCATTGATTGTGTATTCAAAACATACGTAAGAAATCAATTATACTTGTATTTAACCACAGAAATGAATAGGAAAACATATTCATTTATGAACTAATCAGTTTGTGTCATGCCTTTCATAAAAGTGAGATTAAATTCACACAAACAAAACCCCTACAATGCATATATAGCTGTCAAATGGAGACAATATAAAAAGACGATTGTTCAACGACGAAACCACAAAACAATTATAAAACGAATAGTTGAATTACTTACCGGAGAGCGGGCGGTTAAACATTGAATGCTCTTGGCTACATCCGTGCATGCCTTGACAGGGTTAGTTGCTCTTGGGGTCATTGTTGCCTTATAAGTATTTTGCCAGCGTGCAACTTAGATAACTAATCTTTCAGTTTTGCAAATAAAGAAATTGTTGTCCTATAATTGTAACTTTGATTTCTTTCTTTTCTCTCCTTTTAATCAGAAATGTAGTTTGTGTTTAACTGTCGTAGTTTATCTTACTGCAACGGAACAAACGTGTAAATATATGCTGTTATTTTAATGCGTTTGGCTGAATTGAGCTTTCCGAATTCCAAGAATTTTTTTCAAGTTTTGGTGTCACCGTTGTAGTGGTTTCTTACACAAAGATACAAATGTTTTATCAGAAATGATAATTTTAATGTATTTGATTAAAATCAACTTTCACTTTGTATGATTTCAAGTTTCAGGGTAATCGTTCGTTGTATATCTTTCCACAAATACACAAGCGTTGCTATAAGTTACAATAATTTCAGCGTATTCAACTAAAATCAGCGTACACTTGTTAAGGTTTCCAGTTTGTTAACGCGATCAGTCGACTGCCTGGATTTCTAAAACAAGCAGGGTTACCCCCTATTTATACCCGCGGTCACACACGACTAGAACAGGATCCTCCATTATAAACATAGCGGAGAATTCTCCGGGTCACTTCAGGTTTACCGTACTAATTTTCCTCTGTGCGTCACCACTTCAGCGTGACCGACTCTTCGTGGGGAAAAACAAACACACGCCGGCCCTTCATGGTCCTCTCTCTCTCCCGCTTAGCCTTGAAAAAAGTTTTTGTTTAGGAAAATATGTTAAGTGACCTAGCGGCCAGATTTGTGTCCGAAGCGTGGCGCTACCGGCTGTGCCATCCATTCAGAAACAGTGGAAATCTTCCTCGTCTGGGTTTAGGGGTCATACGTTCAGCAGCTACATGGTGGGTGTGGGGGGGGGGGGTGTTGGGATGGAGAAGGGGAAGTAATTGGTGGGGGGGGGGGGGGAGGGCAAGCCTGCCTCCTCGAAGTAAACATGGAAAGCAGTCTTAGTCTAGCGGCTAGACGTTCGCCTGGGGGATAAGAAGGTGGTGAGTTCGGGTCCTGACAGAGGGGGTCTTTTAAAAAAAAAAAGACTTTAGGTCCTAGATGGACCCAGCCTTAAATGGGTACCAGGTACATTCCTGGGAAGTAAAGGCAGACCACATCACCCATCCAGTGCCTATTGGTCTATAAAACATAAGTCTAGCCCAGTATGCCCAATCCCCATGAAAGTGTGGAGATGAGTCACTTATTTTATTTTTACAGAGGATTTATAAAGCTTAACAGCAAACCATTTGTTTTACTATTTCTTCTTTGTTTTCGCTAATGTTGAGGATCGGCTGCCCGAGCTGCTTGAACGCTTGTCTCTCAATCGGGAGACCAAGGTTCGAATCCTCGGTAAGGCTGGGGATTTTTTTTTTTTTTCTGTCGGGGGTAAAATAAAACCCTCAACTGCACAGTCGTGGTGATAGTACTAGCCATGCGGCCGTACATCCTCAGGTTTAAAGACACCCCCCGCCTCTCACGCCTGCGTCGCAAAAGTGTTAACATTTAGGCAGTGATTGACAGTTTCGTTCATGTGTAATCAACATGCTCATTGACCGCTAATCAGTTTTAACATACATAGTACAATATGTGTTTGTTTGGAAAATTAACTAGGAATTTAAATGCTACATAACAGATAAAACACTTATGAATGGTTAATGTTTTTTCTTTCATTAAAATTGCTCTCCTTTGTTTCCCTTATATTTATTAAACTTTCCTAGTTGCACCCGAGTAAACTACCGCCTTCTGGATCGTCCCAACGCTGCTCCCAATTTGTGCTTGCAGTTTTTACTGCCCCACCACTAGGTGCCGGAACCTGGGGCCTATGTCCTTGAGCTCCCCCCTCCCCCCTTTTTCCTCCCCTTTTTTAGGAAATCTTTAGGAGTGGAGGGGTGGACCCCCCTCCCCGCCCCCTCTAATGTTTTTTTTTAATTTTAATTTTTGTACCCAGAAAATGTGTTAGGTCCTGAGGGTACATCCCTTGGGTATGAAGGAGTTAAGGGGCGGGACGGCTACTTTCGGATACTCATGAGTTAAACAAACGCCGTTTTATGCACTTTGAAAAGTGTGTCCTTATTAGAAATGAAAGGTTAATCCTAGATTTTCCCGGTAATAGGGCCTACACCCTGCTCGACAAGCCAAAGACAGAAAGATTGCCGGTTTTGCTTGCTAGTGCTTCCATCGATGCACCTCCACGACCCAAGCGGCAGGTCGGTACTCTCCTGGCTGGAAAAGCCTCACGTTCAACCAGCATCCCTGAAGCGGGAGCTTAAGGTTATACGTGTGACTAGGTTGTGTGTGCCATATAATTTTTTGCAGGCCACCAAGAGCCATAAAAAGGACTCCTGTAGCGTTGTTGCGATCAGAGAAGGCATACAGAGAAGGCATACAGAGAAGGCATACAGAGAAGGCACACAGAGAAGGCATACAGAGAAGGCATACAGAGAAGGCATACAGAGAAGGCATACAGAGAAGGCATACAGAGAAGGCATACACAGAAGGCATACACAGAAGGCATACACAGAAGGCATACAGAGAAGGCATACAGAGAAGGCATACACAGAAGGCATACAGAGAAGGCATACACAGAAGGCATACAGAGAAGGCATACACAGAAGGCATACACAGAAGGCATACAGAGAAGGCATACACAGAAGGCATACAGAGAAGGCATACACAGAAGGCATACAGAGAAGGCATACAGAGAAGGCATACAGAGAAGGCATACAGTTTGTTTGTTTTAGTATCCAGAAGCCATGAGTTGTTAACCATTAGGCTCGGTATTATGGATATCGCAACCTTTCGGCCTTGATTCCATTTTAAATACCGTAAATCTGGGAGAAAATGTGGCTTTCCTGCCTTCCCCCGGGATTGAACCCGGACCACAAGGAGTTCGTCACCCGATCTCCGCGCAATCCGGTTTAGCCAACTACGCTAGAGAGCCGGGCAGAAGGCATACAGAGAAGGCATACCCAAATACTGTCCTAAACGGCGACGAAGTTGTCTACCGGCCAGCCAATGGGCGACCCGGTTGCAGATGAAGATTGCTTGTTGAGTGTGCTATTGCTTCCACTGATAAACCTCCAGGACCCAACCAGATCAGTTTCTGTTTTAACAACGGATCAACGGATTAACATTATGGCATAAGGGTGGCAACCCATAAGTGGTCCGTTCTTTTTCGAACTGAAGGGTGAGTCAGAAGAATATCAGCACAGTGCGCGAACGCCGTAGCACCGGCGAGGAGCCTGAAATACTTTGGGTAGATTTGTAACTTCGAATTTTGCCTGGGCAGCGCCGTTAGGCTACTCTTTTGGATTTTCAGCTGCCAATGGTTTTTTTTTTTTACGTGCGCAACAATACACACCATACAGACAGGTCAATAATTAAGTTTTGCATCCCCGGTAGCAAACAAGAAGCGAAGATTATCTTGCTTGTTACTTCCCTTTCATTATCTTATTTAACTTCTGCTTTCGCCCTGATTAGGGGGGGGGGGGTGGGGGGTAGGGGTTGACACGTTGTGTTGTGGTTTGCAGCTGTGCTGCGATATCTGCCCCTGTCGGCCAAAACATATCATTTGAGCACCCCCTAGATAAGTTAGTCATATCTTACGACATTGCTTTTAAGGGGCAGTAAGTTTCTCTCCCCCCCCCCCCCCCACAAACACACACACCACGTGTGACTCCGGAACCTATGTATAGAGTCTATCCTAACGACTATCTTCGTTATCTTGAACATTAAAATAAACCAGAATGCCGGTCTAGACTTCATACACGGCATCCATTTTTTCCTGAAAAAGACCGAGGCGCCCCCACCCCCCCCCCCTCTTCTTCCTCCTCTCCCTCCCAACACCCTTCCCACCCCACAATTAGCGAAAGCTCTTTGATGAAGGCAGTTCATTTCAAACACCAGTCCAATGGCTTCACGTGATTTACAGTGACTTCAAAAAGAATTAAAATGGGAGGCCAGTTAACTTAATGTGGTCTCAACCTCTGTTCTAACTTGTGATAACAGTCATTGTAGTTGTGAAAGTAAAAATGACCCTTTTCCACGCCTCTAGGCGTATAGGGCTAGATTTTTATTTTAATTACCAATCGGCTTAAGATAGGGGATGTGGTCAGCATCACGCCGGTCGCCTTTACTTCCCGGGACTGCACCCGGTACCCACTCAAGGCTGGGTTGACCTGAGAGCTAAAATCATTTTTGAAAAAAGTCCGGCTCCGCCAGGGAGCGAACCCACGACGTTCCGATTCGCAGGCGAGCGTCTAGCCGCCCCGCCACGGCGACTCCCAGCAGTCAGTGTGCCAGTACCTAATTAGTTTCACAGTTAGGAATGAAAGAGAGTACACCTATGTGTTGATAAGGAACTTCCTGATACTGTCACCCGTTTTGTTCTGTTTGGCATTGGATTTGGCAAAGCTTTCCTTTTTTTTTTTTTAGGTTGTCAATCAGTTTCATTACCTCATCTGTTAAAACATATTAAAAAATTATAATTATGGACACAACAGGACAGTGAATGAATAAATATCATTATTATATTGTTAATTTGTGCAACAAAGAAAGGTATACTCTATCAAGAAGAGATTTGCCTCCCTCCTTTCGCTTGTCCCCGGGCAACTAGTGAGCCCAGGAAGTGTACCCTTTGCTAGGTAAAGAGGAAAATTAGTTAGATCCAAGTCAGAAAAAACAAATAATTAATCGAGTCTTTAGCACCCTAATCTTACCACAATCAGTTCTCTTCGTGAGTCAATTTCTTTCGAAATGTCTTCATTACTCTTATTTATCTGGCCAGGGTATTCTCAGGATTCGTCTATAAAACAACATCTCTGCAGCTTGTAAATAAGTTTTTACTAAGTTGCCAACGGTCCATGATTCACTTCTGTATATCAATATATGATTTATAGCTTTTGAGAATTCTCTTTCTCGTCTCAATGACAAAGACAGATTAGTGAGTTGTTTTTTTTTTTTAGTATCCAGAAGCCA